TTTTCCTAACTTGTGTCCTAAGGGGACAAGTTAAGAATGCAATAAATATACCGTTTTATAATTAATTTACATAAAGAATGACACAAGTTAACTTTTATTTTAGTGACATTACCACATGAATAGTTTTAATTAGTCAATTGATTAAATTCTAATCAACTTTTGTAATTTTTATGTAAATTGATTATAAAAATGTGTATTTATTGCGTTCTTAACCTGTGCTTTAAAATTTTTAAATAAAAAAACTCTTTTAAGATTAATCTCTCTTTGTGGTTTGATCAATGAAAGATAAGTTATTCACACTTGAAATTAAAAAATTTAGGAGAAATTATTTTATATGGTAATTTGAGGTGCTCATAAGTTAAGGAAAGGTTTGTTTTAGGGCACATAATAAGAAATAGTTATTACTTAATAATTATCATTTTTTTAAAATGTTAAATTTTAAATTAAAAAAACAAGTTTTAATTTTAATTTCAAAATAAATGAATAAAAAATTAACATGTAGTATTTACAATTAAATCAAAAATTAATTTTATTTTTTAAAAATAAAAAATATTAATAATTACACAATTATTACTTTTTATCATATACTCTAAGAAAATCATGCATTTGAATCGCCAAACACACCTCTAGTTGGTATATTGATGTCATGGTTTATTGATGTCATGTCCCACTCTCTTTACATATCTCATTAATTAAATCGAAGTAGAAAAAATTAAATAGATTGTTTAGCAAGTGATGATCTCATATTGGTTTTTGCATCCGTCTGTTAAGACCCCAAGTATCTTGAGTCCCGTCTCCATATTCAGCATTACAATTTGCAAATTTAGAGGTATTGGGAAGCTTCCAAGTTGTAGTAATTACAGGTTACGTCTTCAATTTAAAAAATTAACTTTTAAAATTTAGGATTATTCTAATTTATATTTTAAGGACACAATAGATATGGCTCACAATAAAACTTCATAAAACATTTGCTTTAAAAATAAATTATTATTTTGTAAATTGAAAATTTAAAATCTTATTAGATAAAAATTTAAAAATTAATTTTTAAATATATTTTGAAAAAATTACACAAAAATTACTTTTAAAAAATTAATATTTAAACTTTATCAAGTACCCTTAAAATGATGGACATTTGATTAACATCTTTTACATAACAGCCCTCATGATATAATTGTTAAGTATTCATTTGACACTTTTTTTTGTGGCTTTAAAATCTTTTGAGTTTTGTCAACAAAATTTTGTCTCTGCAAGTGGAGCTTTAGAATTAGAACTAATATCCAAGTCAAATTCTTGTTAGATTCAATCCAATTAATTTCATTTTTATTGATTTTCATAACTAAGTTATCCATACTTGATATTGGTTATGATTTTTTGACAAGAAAAATTCATTGTAATGAACCCAAAAAGACTTACTTACATCCTCATTGCCCTCCCCTGCAAGAAATTCAACCTAATAAATCAATTAACAGGATATGCAACTAATTTCCTTGTCAACAGAGTGCAATTCCTTGGTTTAATGAATTTTAAAACGATTCCATTCCATGAATAAAACCCACACCCAGCGAATAATTGGAGGTGTCATTTGGAAAAGAAGATTTCCTGCAGCTTGGATTGACAATTCAATTGCTCTCTTTAAATAATTCCATCGACTACTCTCAAGTCTCACCGCTTTCACAAGATCATTAATGAGGAGCTGCCTATGCCTATCGTCACCAGACACAGCATTGCATTCATTTTAGGATTTTTCATTAATTTACACTTTTTTATTAATTTTTAAACAAACATAAAAAAAAAAAAAATTAATTCCATTTTCAATGCCAATTCCATATGAAAAATATTAAAGGAGTTGCAACTCCTAAATAAAGAGGAAAGGGGAGAATTCAAATTTATAAGGACATCTCGAACTTTTCTAATCAAGGATTCCATGTTCCTCACCTTTTTGTGAACTAAGCAAGGATGACATTTTATACATAATGAGAAATAAATTTTTTTATTTCTTAATTTATTTTATCCATATATCATACAATTTAAATTTAAGATTTTTTACTTTTACTATGCAACGATTAGCACCAAAACATTTAAGTTGTTGGCAAAGACAACACATTTTTATGAACTACCCAAGGATACCTACCCTCTTTTAAAAGTTTTCAATCTTTCTATTGAAGGATTTAGTGGAGGTGCAAGCTGATCAAGTGAATTGTTTCCATTTATGGGACTCATGTAATTTGCTGACTAGTTAAAAAATGGGCTATGGCTGCTTGGACAATGAAGTAAAACACTCACTAGGTCCTTCAGTAGTCTAATTGAGAAGGTAGTATTATTGATTAGAAACTTTTGAAAGGTGGTAGACATCATTAATTAGTTCAAAAAACTGGTGGTATCCTTGATTAAAAAAATATTGAAAGTATATGTCTTTGTTTATATATATACAAAATCTAGAGAAAAGGGGTATTTAGAAATAAATCCAAACTGAGGGTATTGAAACGACAACGGATCAACTTTCAATAGATAATTTCGGGCCACTGCCCAAAGGGGCAAAAATCACAAAGAGAGTGCTCATAAAAAGCCAAAACCCCAAATCTACACCTCAAATAGAAAGGTAGGAACAGATTTGCTGCTAAAAAATATAGAGACAAATCACATTTTTAAATTATTAATTAAAATAAATTATATATTATTTAATATGTAACATCATCACAAGTCAATTTTTTGTTAAAAATATTTTGGTAACAAATAGATTTTTGATATGTGATGATGTTACACGTTAAATATTGAGTAATTTGTTTTGATCGATAATTTAAAATAATCATTTATCTATTTTTTTTAAAGACTGTCCCTATTTTCTTATTTAAGAGATAGATTTGAAGATTTTTACCTCATAAAAAAAATATTTCATATAAATAATATAAATCATCTCGAGGGATATGAGTTGGAGAATTTCAAGAGCATCGTAGGAAACACTTTATTACATTCAACTTGAACTTTCTGTATAATGGAATCAGTATATATAAATTATAATACATATTCAGATCTTAAATACATGCACAAACTTATGCTTATGATCATTGCCTTAGTGATTTCTTAGATAGTGCCCTGTATTGAGTGGTTTCCTGTTCTCTGATATCTATTTCCTTTCTTGACATATCTGTTTCCTTTCTTGATGCATGCCATAGTCTGTTTCCTTTGGATTCATCCGTTTCCTTTGATTCATCCTTCATATGAGTAACCAATTAACCA